TTCCTTGTAAAATAATAATCTTAAAAACTAAGATTAATATGTAAAAAATTCACTTAATTAAGAAATCTATAAGTAATATTTTAAATACATTAAGTATTAATGTTACCGTTTGGGAAATCATATAAAATTTTCCCATAATTTGATTTAACGAGGAATGAATACGAGAAATTATTACAATGCTTGATTAGAGCATTGATTATAATACACACTTTAGCATAGTAAAGATCCAGATTACTGCAGGATTCCCACAGTTTAAATTTTACATTTGTGAATATTAGTGACACATTTGATTGTAATAAACATCCTTTGAAATACACTACAGTTTATTTATTTACACTTGAAATTTTATTTCTCCCATATTCAGATAGAAAATGTTATACTTCATATGGAGATTTGTGTGTGATGATATTTGCATGTCTATATTAACTTACGCATATCAAATATACAAAATCCGTACAATATATGTCATAGCAATAAATTTCCTGTCTCTTATACACATCTTATAATACACACTTTAGCATAGTAAAGATCCAGATTACTGCAGGATTCCCACAGTTTAAATTTTACATTTGTGAATATTAGTGACACATTTGATTGTAATAAACATCCTTTGAAATACACTACAGTTTATTTATTTACACTTGAAATTTTATTTCTCCCATATTCAGATAGAAAATGTTATACTTCATATGGAGATTTGTGTGTGATGATATTTGCATGTCTATATTAACTTACGCATATCAAATATACAAAATCCGTACAATATATGTCATAGCAATAAATTTCCTGTCTCTTATACACATCTTATAATACACACTTTAGCATAGTAAAGATCCAGATTACTGCAGGATTCCCACAGTTTAAATTTTACATTTGTGAATATTAGTGACACATTTGATTGTAATAAACATCCTTTGAAATACACTACAGTTTATTTATTTACACTTGAAATTTTATTTCTCCCATATTCAGATAGAAAATGTTATACTTCATATGGAGATTTGTGTGTGATGATATTTGCATGTCTATATTAACTTACGCATATCAAATATACAAAATCCGTACAATATATGTCATAGCAATAAATTTCCTGTCTCTTATACACATCTTATAATACACACTTTAGCATAGTAAAGATCCAGATTACTGCAGGATTCCCACAGTTTAAATTTTACATTTGTGAATATTAGTGACACATTTGATTGTAATAAACATCCTTTGAAATACACTACAGTTTATTTATTTACACTTGAAATTTTATTTCTCCCATATTCAGATAGAAAATGTTATACTTCATATGGAGATTTGTGTGTGATGATATTTGCATGTCTATATTAACTTACGCATATCAAATATACAAAATCCGTACAATATATGTCATAGCAATAAATTTCCTGTCTCTTATACACATCTTATAATACACACTTTAGCATAGTAAAGATCCAGATTACTGCAGGATTCCCACAGTTTAAATTTTACATTTGTGAATATTAGTGACACATTTGATTGTAATAAACATCCTTTGAAATACACTACAGTTTATTTATTTACACTTGAAATTTTATTTCTCCCATATTCAGATAGAAAATGTTATACTTCATATGGAGATTTGTGTGTGATGATATTTGCATGTCTATATTAACTTACGCATATCAAATATACAAAATCCGTACAATATATGTCATAGCAATAAATTTCCTGTCTCTTATACACATCTTATAATACACACTTTAGCATAGTAAAGATCCAGATTACTGCAGGATTCCCACAGTTTAAATTTTACATTTGTGAATATTAGTGACACATTTGATTGTAATAAACATCCTTTGAAATACACTACAGTTTATTTATTTACACTTGAAATTTTATTTCTCCCATATTCAGATAGAAAATGTTATACTTCATATGGAGATTTGTGTGTGATGATATTTGCATGTCTATATTAACTTACGCATATCAAATATACAAAATCCGTACAATATATGTCATAGCAATAAATTTCCTGTCTCTTATACACATCTAGATGTGTATAAGAGACAGGTTATATTTTATATATATATATATTATCACCAAACATGAAATTTGTACAATGAACAGTGAAACTTTAATCATATTTTTCGATCATTAAATAAATACATTATTTTCAGTAACAAATATAAAATTATGTCGGATCATTCCAATCCCCATATAATACTCTATAGCTATTCTTATAGATGATAAACAACAAGTCTATGGTTATTAATTAATGTACCTATAGTA